CCGGCTCCGTCCCGGGACCTGCAACCCTTTACAAAAAATTAAAACTGTCCACATTTGAAATACTTCGCTTGACACATATTTTTATGCAGCGGACCAAAGTTTATTTTATATGTATGTAAGTGCATGTCATAACGTAAACACAAACAAACACACACACACACACACACACTTTACACCGCTTTAATCATTCAGTCTTGTGTTGTTTATTCACTCTTGTTGACTTAAGTATTCGTTTTCGATTTGACCATTTATACTTTTTGAAAAATTCTTTATTTGGGAAAATTTAAGAAATATACTAGATAACTGAATCAAATGCCGCGTAACAAAAATTAAGAGACGAGTTACCTTGCTGTCTCTTTTGTAATGCAATGCTCCATGAACAAAACGCACGCCCAATGGGTAATTGCGAGATTAGTAGCAGGGCAATAAATCAAAGTGATTCACTTGTACTCGAAATCAATGGTGGTTGTGCTGGGAGGCTGAGATGTTCTGCGCCCATATGGTAACCACCCGCCCGCGCGCCCCAACTCCCCTCCACCCGCCGCCGGACGGCGGACAACACTAATTGTTCCCGGTTTTGTCGCGATCGCAAGTGTCACCTTCCCCCGAGGACCGTATGGTCGACGGCACAGGGCCCACAACGGCGTGCAGGTGCGGCTGTCACACGCCGGTGCCAGATGGTCTCCGGTCTCAGGGATGCCTATTGTGTTGCGAAGTGTCAAAGTCATCTTTATTAGGGCTGTGCCACACCGGCGTGGCGCGAGGACGTCCAACTATTGTTTGCCAGATAAAACAAAACAAGGTACACAAGGTGGCGCACATCTGTGGCGCTGCCATTGTCCCCGGACTCGGACACGGCCACGGCCACGGCCAAGGATACACAATCATAATTGTATTAAGATAAGTTCAAAGAAAACAAATATTTGGAAAACTTCTATAGTACAAATGCGACATTATAACAAACGGAGTAATCAGAGTGATAACAATTGTTGTTCACGTTCACATACAGATTACATATTGTTGTTTTTTTGTGAGGAAAGGGCAGTAAGTTGTGATCTTTCGCTTATCTCACACATACATAAGTGCAGTGGTGTTCCTTTGTGCGCGCATTGGCTGCACTCCAAACAAATCAATACAATAAATTGAAGCAACAAGTCGTTGACAATTTATTTCCGCTCTTTCTGACATGTACATACGAGTATATACATACAGTTAATTAGTAAGATAAGGAAATCTTAACCCATTGCTTGCGAGCAACGTGTCAACTCGCAAACATAAAGTAACTATTAAAACATAGAAATATTCCCAATCATTATTGAATTTTAAATAATTATGTTTAACATTTGCACATTATTTTATTTTTGTAAAAATACACTATACAGTTGTTGTCCGATATTAGTAACAAACCACTGAAATGTGTTAAATATTTTAATGAAACATTGTTTTTAAAATTCTATGTCAAAATGATTGGTAAAAATGTATGTCTTTTTGTCGTGACTGAATTTATCAAATTTGTAACTCGTTTCAAACAATAACAAACTATATGCCGGTTCTTATCTCGAAAAAACATGTGCTAGTCTTTACCACGAGGATAAACTAAAAAAAAACAGCAAAAAACTATTGTGTCAGGACATGACAGTTATATATGTCTAGTAACAAACTGTTTTGCAATGTTTGCCGTGTATGCGTGCGTGTGGCATAGCTCGGCCGCTCGACCGCTCGACCGGAGCGGAGCGGACCGGAGCGGACCGGAGCGGAGCGCGCATTCCTATAATAATAAAACTTATTATCAAAATGCTTTATTTTGATAGCATTGTTTACATTAATTGTGAGTTTCCAGTTAATTTAAATTTCTACTAAAACATATGATACTCTGAGTTTTTGTCAAAGAAAACGAAAACGAAAGGGATGACATAAAAACGGAGGGAGGGTCATAAAATTGTTACCTAAATTAATTTTTTATATGGACTATTTAGTTTTTTCATCATAAATTATTTGAAATGAGTGTTTTATTTTGAGCTCGCGTACGATGTGATGTACCTTCAAGTGTGGCAATAAATATATATATATATATATATATTTATTCATATGAAATAGCAGGTAATTAAAGTGACGACTGTCACTGCTGGGTGCTGGCTCCGAACAAAGAGCAATCAATCAGTGTGATCTTCCGAGAACCCGTCGATACGATATGATCTGCGGCGGCGGCGACACGTGAGCGTTGCGTCGGCGATCCTTCGCCCCCGCCCTTATCTTATCAGCGACGCACACACGCACACCGCGCGCATTGACGTCAGCCGCTCTCGTAGGCCGCAGATCGCAACACCTCGAGCGGCCGAACGCCTTGCGTTTAGCGTGCAGTAATAGCGCTTACAATGGCATGACGGGTGCGGCTGAGGCGCACCTCGCCGACCTGACCTCGGCCCGCCGCCCGCCGCCCGCGCCCGCGCCCTCCTTTCTACGAGGTTCACTTCTACGACGCAGTATCATTAAAAATAACAGAGCCAATAACCTTAGGTCCGCGCGCTCGGTAATAACACATATGTATATATGTGGCGATGCGGAGTTTGTTATTATTTTAATCGTTATTTCGGTGGCGGTGTCGCTGATTATCAAAAGGTCAATCGACTGCCGAGCTATTAACCTATTTATTCGACGCGCAAAAATCTCCTACATTACATTCCATTACAAAAGTTAAGATACGACATTTTATGAAAAAAGCGATTACAAACTGCGTTTGTTGCCGACATTTTAACGTCATCGTTTTAGATGTTTTTTGGTGTTTTTGATTTTTCAATAAATGTTTGATTTGATTTTTTTGCTCACCAGTTTGCGTCCTCGATAGATAGCTAAAATGTTCAAATTGATTACTTAAGTAAATAAACAAATTAGACTGAGTTTTTCATCATTCCTTGTTTAGTTACAAATAACCTTGT